AAGAAGAGAACATCACATATCTTCGAATCGTAATAAAATAATTGAAAAATGTCAATAAATAGAAAAAAATAAACAAAAAAAGGTTTTAGCTCAGAATTTTAGTAAAAAAATTTTATTTTCCAAGTTGCTTTTAATTTAATATCTGTTTTGTAAAAAAAAGTTTCTGAAGTGATTTTGTTCCCCTTAGAGTGAGATCAAAGACAGGCTGTTGACTATAATAGTGCCCGATCCAAAGCAAAAAGTGGTACTCAAGCCAACAAAATCTATGACCAGTATCTCAATGCCCATTCCCGAGGTGGACGCCTACTTTCGCCTTTTGATGCTAATAAACGCCATCGACGAAGACAGACTAGAGGACGCCAAACTCTGCGCCAAGGTACCGTAAATAGAACAGTTTTCCATGTGAAAATTCGAGTAATGTGTTTATGTGCATTTGTGCATTTGTGCACTTCAGGCCGCCTCCGATGTAATAGCCGAGCAGAACCGACGCAGTCTCGACGGAATAGCGGCCAGGATTTATTTCTATCTGTCCAGAGTCGCTGAACTTCGGGGCGAATTGAGCACTTGCGGGCGCCTCTGCACTCCAGACTGAGGACTTGCACGCTCCGAAACGACTACGAGGTGATAAAGGATAGATGATAAATTATAGATTAAATTTTTACACTTTTTTCAAATGAGTATCCAACTACAATACATACAAAAACCCTTAAATATTGTATTTCCTAAGGGTATCTGATACAAAATCTGCCAGGATCAGAAGTTTCCACCTCATCAATTAGCCAAGTCTTTGTTTGAATTTAGTGCAGGCTTTTTTGAAAACTTACTTTTTGTTGCATCTATAAAATATATAAATGGTTACAATATGTCTTTTTACCAAAAAAATGAGTTTGGTGTTTTAGATCAGCTTATACTCACGAATTCAAATTAGATTCTCATTGGAATTATAAAAATTTTATTCAATATAATTTTTTAGTTAGTTTTAATTATTATGATTTTTCTCCAGGGTCAAGCTGTGATTTTAAATTGTTTACTCCGTAATTATTTACACTACAATTTATATGAACAAGCTGACAAACTCGTCAGCAAAAGCACTTTTCCTGAATCTGCAAGCAACAACGAATGGGCCAGATATTTATTTTATTTGGGCCGAATTAAGGCAGCTAGATTGGAATACAGCGCTGCACATAAACATCTGGTCCAGGTAAAAATTTTTAACTAAAATTGATTGAAAATTATATAGTATTATATTGTATATTTTTACAGGCAATGCGTAAAGCACCACAATGCGCTGCTCTTGGGTTTCAATTGATTGCCCAAAAATTGGCTATTGTTGTTGAATTACTTCTAGGCGATATTCCGGAGAAACAAGTAATAATTTATTTTACTAAAAAACTAAGAATTTTAAGGAAAATAATAAGTTAATAATTTATTTATCAGCGGTAAAAGTTTCCTACTTTTTTTAGGTTTTTCGCCAACCAGGACTGAGGCGTTCTTTATTTCCTTACCTCCAATTGACAAAGACCGTCCGGATGGGAAATCTTCAGGCTTTCGGCGAAGTTCTGGACCAGTTTTCCAACCAGTTTCAAGCTGACAATACTTGTTCCTTAATTCTACGCTTGCGAAATAATGTCATAAAAACCGCGGTAAGTATATTATTATAATGTAATTTTGTTGTTGATAGCATATATTAAATGATATTAAGAATATTCAATTCAATGATCAGTGTAAAAATATATCGGTTGTTCTCTGATAAGAGTCTTACATATATTATGATAAATAAGTTATGATAATTTTGTGCTTTATGGATACATAGAAGTTATGGATATTACGAATATTTGTGAAAATATTTATAGACTAATTTAACTCTAAACATCTTCCAGATCCGATCAATTGGAATGGCATATGCAAGAATCACACCAGCAGATGTTGCAAAAAAGCTTGGACTTGACTCTAAGGTAAGTAAAACTAGCGTTTGGCCCATTTTTACATTAATCTATTACAATTACAAATATTTCTAGTTTTTTTTTTATTTACAGGAAGATGCCGAATTTATGGTAGCCAAGGCGATTCGAGATGGAGTAATTGAAGCGACGATAGATCCTGAATGCGGTTGCATTAAAAGTAAAGAAACTGCCGATATTTATAGGACACGAGAACCCCAGCTTGCTTTTCATGAAAGGATCTCATTCTGTCTCGATTTGCATAATCAGAGTGTGAAAAGCATGAGATTTCCACCTAAGAAACCGGTATCTAATTTGGTAAGTTCAATTTCTTTATTTGACTGACTTTTACTGCTTTTCTCAAATTCGGCAGCGCAGCTATCACATCAGTTTTGTGCATCAATCATAATTTTATTTATTTTTAAATCATAACATCTTTATAAACTTTTTACTGCTTCAATATGCGGGTTCTTCAATTACAAATTAGATCAATTTCTCGCATTCCAAAAGGCCAGGTGCAAATAAATTAACGCGTCTCGAAAACGTCTTGCAGATGCAAAAATAATCAAGTGAACTTGATGGTTTATTCTTGCACGAATGTTTTTACACGAATGTAAACATTTTTATTTAAAAGTGGTTAAAAATAAATTAAACTGTTTATTATTGTATATCTAAATATATAAATCGTTTCAGACTTTGCCTATTTCAAAAGAACAACAATTCTTAGAAATCGTACAAGAACTGTCTGGAGATCCAGATGAGGACGATTTTTAAGATATTCGTTATTTGTTGTATGTATGTACTCATTTTAATTTAATAAATAAATAAATAAAATCTCTACAATATCATCCCTGCAATAAAAAAAATATTCATAAAAATAATTACAAATTGTAATAAACGTTGTTTCAACGTTGTTGACAAAGTAAGCACTCTATATCATATACTTATTTTATAGAGGCTTGTGTAATTTTAAATTATTTAGATTTCTGTAAATTACTAGTGCATTACGTTCTACATAATATCAATATTATAAAATGCAGTTTTACCACTACTTTACTATGTTAATAACAAAATAGATTACAACAATCGATTACTGAAATGATGTCATATGTTTTGTCCCATTTATATAAATTAACAATCATTGCTCCACATATGCATATGAATGAATGATTTAGCGATATTTATAGAAATAATTCAAATACATTAACTTCTGCATTTTTCTTGGTAATTCCTCGAGTTTGTCTTGAGGTCTCGGCTCAGGCGCATTTCTTCTTCGTCATTCTGGATAAAAGCACTTATTGTTCTAATTGAAAACAATTATTTAGCTTTGTTTTAGTACAATGCATATTTGACTTATCTGTATTTATTGATTTCATAAACCAACGTCATTGTCGAGTGATTATAAAAAACTATAACAATTAGTATTCTGTGCACAATGTTTATTGGGATTTTGTTGTATGGCTTACCTAAAGCATCGACTCGTTGCTGAGCTCGGAAAACGGACAGAGAACGCAAACCTTTGGTAAAGAAATTAAATTTATAATTTTAATAATCAGTATAAGCACCATACAGTTGATGTAAATGAATCAAATTTAAGTTAGCAAGCTTGAATGGGCAAAAATTTACCTAAAGCTATATAAATTTATTACATGATTAAATCGATAGTTATTGATTATTTTTTAAAACACAAAATCTAGAGAGTTTAAAGCGAACTAGATAATTTATATAATTATTACTATTCTCTTTAATCATAAGTATTAACTTGATTATTAGTTACAATTTTGCATAATTTTCAAGTTATTAGGCTAATGAAGAATGATATATTAGGGATAGATTATTTACTTATTGATATATAGGCTACAAAATATTTTGAGACCACAAGATAATTTACATAATTTTTATTACAATTTATTTTAGAGGCAGAATAATCATTCTAGCTATTTGGATTTGCTAATAATAGATAAACTATTTTAATTATAAAAGTAAAATTTGAATGAAACGGATTGATAGAAAATGTAGAGTACAAACAGAAATGAGCCTTTATCATATAAATTACTATTATCCAATCATTTGTTTACAAAATGAGTTCATAATTTTTGTTAAAAATGAACTTGCAAATGTATTAAATAAAGTTAGAGCCAAAATATGGAATATAGTATATGATTATATATAGGGTGTCCCAGAACTCAACGTCAAGCCGCAACCGGGTAATAGTATTGACTATCATGAGAAAAATTATTAAAATATTTTAGGTAGTTTGAAGAGCTTTGCTAAAAAATGTGGCCAATTTTCGTTTACTGTAGTTAGTGTTGAATACTTTTGTATATATAAGCTTTGGATGCGTAAATAAAATTTCTGAGAGACAATAAAATAATGACACAATTGTCCCAAGAATTAAGCCTTTGAGTTGAACTATCAATTTAAAATTTAAAAGAACCACGAAAACCAAAAAATAATCACAATTCAACTAAAGATATAGCACAAAGCGCTTAAAAGCTTATAATTTTCAAACTACTTTTAGAGATATTTTTTTTCTAATTTTTTCATGATAATATTTTTCACGTGATAATTATTATCAATCAACCCTATGAATTTAAAATTTAAAAAATCATAAAAAATCATAAAAACCGAAAAATAATCACATTTTAACCAGAGCTCTAGTAAAAAGCGCTTAAAAGCTTATAATTTTCAAACTACTAGAGATAATTTTTTTTCTAATTTGTTCGTGATAGTTATTATCAATAATATCACCCCGTTTTGGCCATATTAGAGCTCTGGTGTATCCAACAGATTCACTATTTGTTATGCTATTTCAAATCACCATGATGTTGATTGGATTATGTGCTGTTCTTTTAGAGAAAATTCAACACTTCATAATTTAAGTGTTATCGACAGCTTCTATTCTTTCAACATTTTATTGATTTGCAAGATTTTAAGATTCAACATCACCATGGTGCTGTCGATGGTCTCTATTACCTCCGGCTCGAACTGTTTCCCACCCCGGCATATTCCTAAAGCATGCGGTCACATTGACGGCCATGTTGCTCCGCCGAGCCGTCGACTGCGTTTTGTTCCATTTCAGTTCAAACTTTCAACAGGTGATGTGAGTAATTTTAATGCGCTGCTAGTGTTTTTTTTAAATGTAAGTTTTAATTAATTACATACATATACCACATAATTAACTAATGTGTTTCTGTGTAAATCATATTGTTGAAGTGTACATTCAAAGGATTATTTGGTAATATTTATTTTATTTACTTGCGAGTTGTGCAGACGCTTTTATGATCTTTGTACATAGAACGGTGTCTGCGCCCACACACGTATACCTGTCATGGCTTATACAATAATGCTCGAACAACGTTACATGTTTTTTATAAAAAAAAATGTTGTGTTTTATTTTATTCTAATATTTTCCGGGAACTTTTGGAGTACACCTTGCTTTTTATCTCGGATATTTAATGACATTTTCTGATAACGTTGTTTGCGCGTGATTGTTGTCGCCGTCGTGAGATAAAATGGAAATATAATATGTATGTTCACATGCAGGCTTTAGAATTATCTGTAAATTTGGTGCCCAAAGATTTTTTAAGCTGAATTGATTTGAATAATACCTGTTGCGAGGTGATAACTAGATACTGGTTGCGTCATTTGGTAGGTGCAAAATTTGAATACAAATTTTGTGCAAATACCAACACGGACGGTCATAGAATTTATTACATTTAGTCTATCATTGATTAGACCTATGATTGATTAATCCATTATTCAAAATTTTAATATTTCAATAGAATTTCAATATCTTATCTTTTGAATTCTCATTTGAATCTAAAAATATAGAGATAAAGCTAGATTATTGATGATGATACCGTTCAATGGACTATTGTAAATATGTTTTTCGCTTGATATCAATTAAACCATTCGCGATAATTTGTATTATATATTTTTCCATATAAATTTAATTTGCATTCATGCATGAGTTCATATAAAATATTCTCAAGCTTGCACTTTCTATATCTAAGAGCTTGTTTCTATTTCATCTTAGTTTTATTGATTTCCTGAAGGAAAAGTTTGTTTTCGCCAAATTTGCTAACTTTATGATTCAAGTTGTTCTGAATCGTTTGACACCAAAAATGTGTTAAAGCCAAAATTTGACTTCCATCGACGTTTCTTCAAAAACGGTTGCAATGATTTGAAAAATTGGTATTTAATGGAACTCAATAAGAATTCGTGACCTAATTAACCTATTTATCAATCCATCATTTTATCTGCCTACCAATTCACCTGTTAACCGTTTCTATATGTCGACCAATTTACCTATCAACTTGTTTATCTATCTAACAGTTGTCCTGTCTACCATTTTACATATCTTCCAGTTTACTTATCCACCAGTTTAGATATCTACTAATTTACCTGTCTACCTGTTCATCTCCACGTATTTGTTTAAAAATCTATATATCTGTTTATCTATTTATCTGTCCACTAGTTTACCTGTCCACCAGTTTACCTGTCTACCAATATACCTGTCAACATGTTCATCAGTCTACCAATTTAGCTGTCCACCAATTTAACTGTTCAATGATTTACCAATAAGGATTCGTGTTGATTAATCATTTTGCGAAATGATCGTCCTAGCCGTTTCTTTATAATTAGTAGATAACTGCAAAACTTGTTGCCAAAAAATCTTGAAACGATTTTGAAAATTTGAAGTTTGAAGGATATTACTAGGGAATTGTGCTGATTAGTTTTTGGTAAAGATTGGCCAGGTCATTTCTTCGCAATTAATTATTGAAAGGTATAGTTTCGATGATTTTAATGAAACTTTTTGACGATAGAATTCTTAGTCAGTTCTCAGTGAGTTCTCTCACTTATTAAAATTAAAGTTTGCGATAATGAGCTTTATTTGAAAAGTTGCCAAATCTCTATGGTTCTTGATTAAGTCGATCATTTACTCATATAAAGATGTTAATCCGTTACACCTAGTTTATAAAATATTTTAACTCTAATCTCATTTAATTATAATTCTGTTTTTACCAAATGTTTAGAAGCTCACCCATAACAGAAGATTATCTCAACATTTCAGTTACCTACAATTACGCAATCGAAATTAAAGAAATTCTAGGCTTTTTAATCGTGTCATTAATGTTTCGACATACTTTTTATACTTGTAAAATTATTTTTATGAAATTATTGACAAAATTTCATAAGGTGATAAGATAAGGTATATATAAGATATGTAGTTCACTCGTTCTATTTTTTTACCAGGTGATGCATGAATGAATCCAGTTTTCTGAGAAATTAGATGTCGGTAGTTTGTCATTGTTTGTTTAAAAATTTGTCCTTGGTGTAATTATATATACTTAAGACCCCATAATATAAATATTAGGACTTACATATATACATACACATGTGTATGTATATATATATATATATATATATATATATATATATATATATATATGATTTAGTAGTTAATTTTGATGTTGAAATATATGAGTGAGTTCTTGAGGGCGATACATCAAACAAAGAAAAGCCAAAGATTTATAAAAGTCGTGGCAGAAATTACATAATTCTACTTACATTTTTGTTCAATAAAACTATCATTTTTCTGTTTACATCATACAAAAAAATTATATAAAAAATGCATAGTGCTGACAAGTTAGTTGTATAAATGTTAGTGCCAATCTCTAGTGCTGTTGTACACTTCTCTATATGTAACTAACCAACGTAATATCCACTGATGATGACATTAAATTGAATGTCGAAACGTTTGGAAATAAAGATTATTTTATAAATCTTTGGCTTTTCTTTGTTTGATGTATCGCCCTCAAGAACTCACTCATATATATATATATATATATATATATATATATATATATATATATACCATCTATTAATAAACCAAGTTCATATTTTTGTTGTCCTAATTATTTGGTTTATTTTTACCTGGTGCAAATGCGCTTCGTTCTACAAACACGATTTCAAAAATATCGAATTTATACAGAAAAGGCTGAATTTGTATAGATGTCTGTTATAAAGGCTTTTTTGTTTCTATTTATAAGAGTACAATTTTGATTCTTTTTCCCAACGATGAATTCCAGACATTTATTCAAATCTAATTGTAGCTCTCAATATCAGCAAATACAATTATTAGCAATCTTTAATAAAAAGTGCATACATTTTGTTCTTGAGCAAATAAAATTCAGAAATAAACAATGGAGTACTCGACACGAGTGTCTCTTGATTGAAATGAATAATACATATCACGAATTTAAAAATAATATCAAACAAAAGAAATTTAATAAAGAAAAACGTCAATTGAGGCATAGAAAATTGATTATTTTATCAATTGATTGATTTCCAATATGAATCACGTTTCTTAAAGGCGTGAGTTTTTTTATCTCAATTTGTAATGCTAAGAAAATCAAAAATTGATAAAAATATGCAGCTGTTTGTTTAGTTAATCAATGCAGTCTGATATTGAGATTGATTCAAATAATATATGAAGGAAATCGATAAAAAATAAACAAATTCGATTGAACTTGCATTCACAATGGATTTTATCAAAATATGGAGTAATAAAGTACATATCAATTTTACTACCTATTAATTTATATAATTTATGAAAACTTCGAGTCGATATGTCTAGATAAAGTAAATTTATATTTTAGTCAATCCTTGTGCATTTTGATTGTAGAAATTGTTCTATAAATAGTGCACAATATTTATTTTAATGGGTAATAAAAGTACTAATCTAATTAAATATTGCATATTGAAATATTCAATCAATATAAATGTGATATTTGACTTTTATAAAATAAATTGGAAAATTTATTAAACTCTATATTTTTGTTAGATTTATAAAAGTACATCATCGCAATTATTATTATTTAAAATGCAAATATATACTCAAGAATTTTTTAATCAAAACGAAAAATAAACTATATAAAAGGTAAATCAATATTTGTAAGGAGCAAAAACAGCAACAAATAAATAACTTCTTTATATTGTAGTACAAACAAACATGCTTAAGTATGTAAATATTTATACGGCATAATAATTTAATTAAATAATATTTATTGTGATTGCGATTTCAATATTTATAAATTTTATTGTAATATATTTAAATAATTTAATAACTATTGTAATTGCATATCGATTTTCGAAACATAATTTGAGATAAACTTTATACTAAAAAGCTTCTGATCGGTTGGGTAAAACTTGAGGGCAAAAATGGTTAAGGGATGGGTTGTGGCTTTGTGTGTTATAATTTATATATATATATATATATATATGTGTGTGTTTGTGTGTGTGTGTAATATGTAAAACTAAATGAACTCATGTTCACCCCATGTGGAATTCAGATTTTCGCAATAATAAGCATTTGCATTATGACATATAATGATATGTGAAGAGATCGGGACAAACGGGCTTGGCATATAATCTTTAGGGCGGATCTATTCAGAGACTCTTCTTCTTAATATTTATATATCTATACACATATATATATATATATATATATATATATATATATATTTCTACTATATTTGTATCTTTTGCTTATTTTAAAGAATCACTAAATAAGTACGTGAGCTTGCAAGTTTGTATGAAAGAATTGCTGTGTATGTATATGAGCTTTTGTACGGCCAATAATAATATCAATAAATATAGAGTCTTATTATTTTATTTTAAAAATGTGTTTCAAATAAGTGATCCAATCCTACAAAAATTTTTAAAATGTAACATAATTATCTGATTATTTCAATAGTTGATTCAACAAAAGCATTATTAAAATTCGTTGCAAATTAAAATTCTTTACGCGGTTTGGAACAACATTGACTCTACCTAAATAATTTATTTCCGCATGTATTTTTTTTAATTTATAAAAGGATTCTTTGAATTTACATGATTGTCAGAAATAAATCGAAATAAATAAAATTTGGAATTATATTTAGTTACATATAAATATTCGGCTATTACTACACCAATAGATAAATGAGGTGTCAATGTTTTATTTGATAATATATGTAAAAGATCTTGACATCATCTAAATAATTTACTTCCGCATGAATAATTAACATCATCTCTCTCTTAATAGGTCTCTATAATATAATTAATATTAATTGACTTCTTTAATATCAGTAAAAA